GAGGGTGAGTGAGGGGTGACTGAGGGGTGAGGGTGAGTGAGGGATGAGGGTGAGTAAGGGGTGAGTGTGAGTGAGGGGTAAGGGTGAGTGAGGGTGAGTGAGGGGTGATGGTGAGTGAGGGTGAGTGAGGGGTGAGGGTGAGTGAGGGTGAGTGAGGGATGAGGGTGAGTGAGGGGGTGCGGGTAAGGGGGTGAGGGTGAGTGAGGGATGAGGGTGAGTGAGGGGTGAGTGAGAGTGAGTGAGGGGTGAGGGTGAGTGAGGGTGAGTGAGGGTGAGTGAGGGGTGAGGGTGAGTGAGGGGTGAGGGTGAGTGGGGGATGAGGGTGAGTGAGGGATGAGGGTGAGTGAGGGGTGAGTGAGGGATGAGGGTGAGTGAGGGGTGAGGGTGAGTGAGGGTGAGGGTGAGTGAGGGATGAGGGTGAGTGAGGGGTGAGTTTGAGTAAGGGGTGAGGGGTGAGTGAGAAGTGAGGGTGAGTGAGGGTGAGTGAGGGGTGTGTGAGGAATGAGGGTGAGTGAGGGTGGGTGAGGGATGAGGGTGAGTGAGGGGTGAGTGAGGGATGAGGGTGAGTGAGTGATGAGGGTGAGTGAGGGTGAGTGAGGGGTGAGTAAGGGGTGAGGGTGAGTGAGGGTGAGTGAGGGGTGAAGGGTGAGAGTGAGTGAGGGATGAGGGTGAGTGAGGGGTGAGGGTGAGTGAGGGGTGAGGTTGAGTGAGTGATGAGGGTGAGTGAGTGATGAGGGTGAGTGAGGGTGAGTGAGGATGAGTGAGGGGTGAGTGAGTGATGAGGGTGAGTCAGGGTGGATGTGTCTCTCAATCCTCCCCTTTTCCTCCCTCTCCACCTCCTCCTCCTCCTCAGATAATAATTGTGTAACCACGACAACCACGACCCCCCTCCCCCATCTCTCCCCCCACCCCCCACACATCACTTACCAATACCCGCACTCCCATGACCGCGTGTGTGTGTGTCTGTATGTTGGACTTCTTTCGCACCGTACGTAGCCAACCGTGCTAATCGAAGGTTCACCACCACCACCATCAACCTTCTCAGCCACCCCCCACTACACCCCCATTTACTGTGAAGTCTCTGCGTGGTGTACAATCAATTAATTAGTAAGTTGCGTTAATTGATGAATTGCGCCGTGCGTGTGACGGAGCGAGCGAGATCTGTCGTGGTGCGGCACGCGCGTGGCGGAGGCCGTGAGCGGCATGCGTGTGGAACACGTGCGAGAGTATGGTGAGGTGTGTGTGTGTGGTGTGTGTGTGCGGTGTGTGTGTGTGTGTTTGTGTGTGTGTGCTGTGTGGGGTGTGTGTGTGCGGTGTGTGGTGTGTGTGTGTGGTGTGTTTTGTGTGTGGTGTGTGTGTGCGGTGTGTGTGTGTGCGGTGTGTGTGTGTTTGTGTGTGTGTGTGTGCGGTGTGTGTGGGTGTGCGGTGTGTGTGTGTGTGTTTGTGTGTGTGCGGTGTGTGTGTGTGTTTGTGTGTGTGCGGTGTGTGTGTGTGTGTGTGGGGTGTGGATGTGTGCGGCGTGTGTGTGTGTGTGCGGTGTATGTGTGTGTGTGCGGTGTGTGTGTGTGTGCGGTGTGTGTGTGTGGTGTGTGTGTGTGTGCGGTGTGTGTGTGTTTGTGTGTGTGCGGTGTGTGTGTGTGTGTGTGTGGGGTGTGGGTGTGTGCGGCGTGTGTGTGTGTGTGCGGTGTATGTGTGTGTGTGTATGGGGGTTGTGTGCGGTGTGTGTGTGTGTGCGGTGTGTGTGTGTTGTGCGGTGTGTGTGTGTTGTGCGGTGTGTGTGTGCGGTGTGTGTATGGGGTGTGTGTGTGTGTGTGCGGTGTGTGTTTGTGCGGTGTGTGTGTGTGTGCTTGTGTGTGGTGTGTGTGCGGTGTGTGTGTGTGTGCTGTGTGGTGTGTGTGTGTGCGGTGTGTGTGTGTGGTGTGTGTGTGGGGTGTGTGTGCGGTGTGTGTGCGGTGTGTGTGTGTGTGCGGTGTGTGTGTGTGCGGTGTGTGTGTGTGCTTGTGTATGTGTGTGTGTGCGGTGTGTGTGTGTGATGTCTGTGTGTACGGTGTGTGTGTGTGCGGTGTGTGTGTGTGTGTGCGGTGTGTGTGTGTGTGTGTGGGGTGTGTGTGTGTGCAGTGTGTGTGTGTGTGTGCGGTGTGTGTGTGTGTGCTTGTGTATGTGTGCGGTGTGTGTGTGTGATGTCTGTGTGTGTGTTGGGTGTGTGTGCGGTGTGTGTGTGTGTGGTGTGTGTGCGGTGTGTGGTGTGTGTGTATACCCCCCCCCCACCTCCTCAATACCCCCCACTACCCCCGTCTCTCTGTCTACCCCCTCAATGACCCCCCCCCATGCGAGCGAGAGCGGGTGGCGGTGGGGGTGTGTGTGGAGGTGTGTGTGTGGAGGGGGGTGTGTGGGGGGGGTGAAAGGGGCGGGGGATCAATAAGAGGTGGGTTGCGGCGGGGGGAGCTAAGCGCTCAGCTTAAAAGGTTGAGAGGAGAGAGACGCGCGTGTGGAGATTTCCCCGTCCGTGTGCCGTCGCTTTGATTTTCATCGAGATCATTTATGATCGGCGTGTATATAGGTGCGCTGAACTTCCTTCGCACCGTACGTAGCCAACCGCGCTAATGAATCGGAGGCTGCAGAATTACGACAATATCTGACTCGCAGAAAATTCTAGAACATCGCTTGTTTGTGTTGCAGTCGAAACGTCGTGAGAATTTTATTCTTTTATATTTTTATTATTTTATTATTTCCCTTCTACGTGACTTTACCGAAAGAACCAAGAATATGAATCCCTGCAGTCACGAAAGCTTTAAATCAAAACTTGTTCAGGTTCTTAGACCTTGATTGGTAGTCCTGTGATGTGCCCCTCCACGCGCTAGATGGCAGTACCCAGCCAGCCTGCAATGCATGCGGGGCCAAAGTGGACACACGCACTAAACTATTGTTTATACTGGTAGAAACCTCCTGGTTACACCAGCCCACAGGGGATTATTGTGTCCGTCCGTCCGTCGTGCAGGGAGGGGCTGGGTGGGGAGGGGAGGGTGGGGAGGGGCTGGGTGGGGAGGGTGGGGCTGGGTGGGGAGGGGAGGGTGGGGAGGGGCTGGGTGGGGAGGGTGGGGAGGGGCTGGGTGGGGAGGGTGGGGAGGGGCTTGGTGGGGAGGGCTGGGTGCGGAGGGTGGGGAGGGGCTGGGTGGGGAGGGGCTGGGTGGGGGGTGGGAGGGGTGGGGCTGGGTGGGGAGGGGCTGGTCACCCCGTGGTGCCCTTATAAATCTCAACGTTTAACCTACTCACGCCGGCTTGTGCCCGCCCTCACAGTCGGCCATATTTGCGGAATACACCACGGCGCCGTTGACCCTGCAGGCCATTGACCGAGTAACCCAACGTTCCTACCAGCTCCCTCGGCAGGAATGTGTTTCGACCAGGTAAGACCAACTGAACTTTCTGCACGGCCATTTTTTTTTCAGAAGCTAAACGTTTTGGTTTAGCCATATTTGTTTGTTTCAGTGCAGAGTTAGACTGGTCACTGTAATCTAAATTGTCTTATGGTTGTTGTTGTTGTTGTTTGACTTGCATCCCACGGGGATTTTTGCACACAGCGTTGAAACGCGGTGCTTTATCTAGAAGACTTTGAAATGTTTTCCTCGATTTTACTGTTTCGCGTAAGTCACTTTCAGATTTTTATTTTTCGATTTAAAGCTTTCGTGACTGCAGGGATTAATCTTCTTGCTTCTTTCGGTAAAGTCACGTAGAAGGGAAATAAAATAATAATAATAAAATTATAAAAACATACTTTAAGATGTTCCTTGTTCCGTGTTTTTGTTTGTTGCGGTTGCACCCGAGTCAAGAGCCGAATGGCTCACAGGGCTATACCTCATCAATAAACTGAAACTGACCTGAAATTATAGCCCGACACAGGGCCATGAACGCAGCATGCACTACCGCTCCCTCCCCTACGTGGATGTTGCAGCGCTCAGCCGGAGGCACTAGAGGTCACTAAACGCGCAAACTCGCTCCCTACGCAACGACCGCGAGATGCATTTGCGGTGTGCAAGTCGGGGTGGGTGAACGGGCAGTGGGCTGAAACAAACTCAAGTAGCCGTGATTCGCAATCCAACTGAGTTCAACGTCGCGTCCGGTCGCGTTCAACTGTGCATGCGAGTTAGGGGGCGTTGCGTTCAACTTTAGTAGGGAGCTATGTCGCGTTCAATGTTGTCCGGTGGTTGCGTTCCATTTGTGTACGGAGTTGCATTCAACTTTGCCGGGAGTTTTGTTCAAATTTGTCGGGAACTTGCGTTCAGTTTTCTGTGGGGTTGTATTCAACGTGTACGGAGTTGCGTACAACTTGTTTCGGAGGTTGCGTTCAACTTCGTACGAAGTTGTATTCAACTTTGTAGGGAGTTGATTCAAACTTGGTCCGGGGGTTGCGTCCAATTTTGTATGGAGTTGTATTCAACTTTTTAGGGAGTTGAGTTCAACTTTGTATACAAATTTGCGGCGACTTGCAACTGGAATCTGTTCCGTGGCCCGGGCTCATTGTGAACGAGTGAAAAAATTAGTGAGTGTATGGGTGAGTGAGTGAATGAGTGAGTGAATGAATCAGTGTATGATATGAGCGAGGGCATGATTGAGTGAATTCATGCGTAAATGGATGGAATCATTCATTCTCGTTGTTGTGAGCTTCTTTCATCCGCCTTCCGTTGTCGTTGGAGGGCGACTGCTTCCAACTGCCCAGCAGCGTCCTTCACGAGCCTCCTCTCCACAGAGGCCGATCTTGACACGACTGGTACCCGTCATCAAGTCTACTCAACCCCCACATCTTACTGTATCACATCAGTCCATCTGCTCTCTAGCCCGTGCCACTCACTCAGCCACTCACGCACTCAACCGAATTACCAACTCAATCCAACCACTCACTCACTCACTCACCCACTCACTCACTCACCCCCCAACTCACCAATCAGTCCATCTCTTCCTCAGTCCGAAACCGCGTCCGTTGAGCCCCCTCTATCCGGCTAAAGGGAAGCTGCTTTGGCATGCGGTGGCTGGGTTTGCGGGCTACATGGCCCAGCAGACGAAGCCTCCTTGCCTGCCGGAGACGCTCACCGATGATCGGGACTGTGTCTAGATATTTCAAGGATCTGTGGGCTCCGTGCACTGTGATCCAGTCTGGTTAAACTAAACTCAAACTAAACCAAAGAAAATTATTATAGCTGGTAAGGCCCACTGAGCTATGTAGATATTTTTCAGTAGCGACCTGGCTATAAAAAATTATAGCTCGACCTAATGGCTTATCTTTTTCGATTTAAAGCTTTCGTGACTGCAGGGATTCATCGTCTTGGTTCATTCGGTAAAGTCACGTAGAAGGGAAATAATAAAATAATAAAAATAAAACATAATAAAATAATTCTCACGACGTTTCGGCCACAACGCAAGCAGCCGTTCTCTGGTGAAGACCAGGTCTGTCGGGGAGACAGCGTCTGAATGAAACACCACCACGCTTGGAGCGTATATTTAAGCTGGGTTGGAAGGGGGAAAGGGCGCCTTGACAAAAGAATGTGCATATCAAGAGGAATTTAGCATATTTATGGGAAATGCAGATATGTGATTAGTACTACTTGTGAAATGCGTAGGAGGTGGGCGGGGGGTTTACAAAGTCATATTATGCCCGTGCATTTTGCAGGATTAGCAGCATCAAAGGGAGGGGATAGGGGTAGCATTAATAAAGGGAAGGAATGTTAATAGTATGTAGCTACAGTAACTAAATAACCACGTAAAAAACGAAAGTATAAGCTACATAGTATCGAATGGCTTAGTAGTATAAAATGGCTTATCACCATTGGAACCTCCTTTGCCAGTATCAAAATATGATAATTGGTTGTTTACCCTTTTATCTGGCAACAAAACTGACACCTTTTTTTCACAAGGAGTCATGTTTGCATGGACCACAATACCTGCGGTCGGAATGCAAACAAAAAACATAAATGTGAGACTAGGCTCTAAGAAAAGCTGTCTCGGGTGTGGACCAATCAATTTCAAGGACAGTGCATACATTATCAGAGTTATTATTGTTGCCAGATAAAAGGGTAAAAAAAACAATTATCAAGTGGCTTCTCGTCACGTGTAAATGTGTATCAGTAGCCAACTACTCTAGACGCGTGTTGATTCTAAATGTGGAGGGAAAAACCCGGAGGACTGAGACAAAAATCCACGCGACCACGGGGAGACACGCAGACTCTAAATATACAGCAGGCATCGTCATGGTCGGGATCGAACCCACGACCTCCTGCATGCCAGGCGAGGTTGTTAACATCTCCTAGCCACCGTGATGATGATGAAAGAGATACACGCAGACTCCAAATATACAGCAGGCATTGTCAAGGTCGGTATCGAACCCACGACCTCCTGTACACCAGGCGAGGTAGTTAGCATCTCCTAACCACTGTGATGATGATGAGAGAGAGAGACACGCAGACTCCAAATATACAGCAGCAGGCATCGTCAGGGTCGGGATCGAACCCACGACCTCCTGCATGCCAGGCGAGGTTGTTAACATCTCCTAACCACTGTGATGATGATGAGAGAGAGAGACACGCAGACTCCAAATATACAGCAGCAGGCATCGTCAGGGTCGGGATCGAACCCACGACCTCCTGCACACCAGGCGAGGTAGTTAACATCTCCTAACCACCGTGATGATGATGAGATAGAGAGACACGCAGACACTAATATACAGCAGGCACCATAAGGGTCGGGATCGAACCCACGACCTCCTGCACACCAGGCGAGGTAGTTAACATCTCCTAACCACCGTGATGATGATGAGATAGAGAGACACGCAGACACTAATATACAGCAGGCACCATAAGGGTCGGGATCGAACCCACGACCTCCTGTACACCAGGCGAGGTAGTTAACATCTCCTAGCCACCGTGATGATGATGAAAGAGATACACGCAAACTCCAAATATACAGCAGCAGGCATCGTCAGGGTCGGGATCGAACCCACGACCTCCTGCGTACCAGGCGAGGTAGTTAACATCTCGCACTGTGGCGACCCTGGTTGACCCCGCCCCCACACCGGATGACCTCTCTGTTGGGCACTGACCTCTTCTTGACCCTGAATGAGTGTAAGGTTTCTGGGGCTATTGCAGGGCTGCGCCTTTAGCTGCTCCAGTCACTGCAGGCTGTGTCGTGCGGTGGTTCTCGGGCGGTTACAATCGTTGATTTGCGTGACCGGTAAACCGCGTAAAAAACGGTTTTAAACCGGTTTGTAGCACACACAACACAGCAACGCGTAGAGCAAATGAAAGCATGCGCCTGTAGCTTAGTTGTTGTACTGGTAGGAACCTCCTGGTTACACCAGCCCACATGGGATTATTGTGTCCGTCATGCAGGGAGGGGCTGGGTGGGGAGGGAGGGGGTGGGTGGGGAGGAGAGGGGCTGGGTGGGGAGGAGAGGGGCTGGGTGGGGAGGGTGGGGAGGGGCTGGTTGGGGATGGTGGGGCTGGGTGGGGAGTGGGAGGGGTGGGGCTGGGTGGGGAGGGGCTGGTCACACCGTGGTGCCCTTATAAAACTCAACGTTTAACCTACTCACGCCGGCTTGTGCTCGCCCTCACAGTCGGCCATATTTGCGGAATACACCACGCCGCCGTTGACCCTGCAGGCCATTGACCGAGCAACACAACGTTCCTACCAGCTCCCTCCGCAGGAATGTGTTTGTTAACTGACACAGAAGGGTGAATGTAACCGCGTGGTGGCTTAGGCCTGCCACCGTGCGGTTTGTACGTCCCCGTGCCAATCAACACAGCCACGAGTGACATTACACTCCGAATCGTTTACAGGGCGCCTGACTTTCTGAACCGTTTGGAGTGTCAGAAACCGGTTACCGTATTACCGGTTAACATCGCTCGTGTTGGGGTATAACACGTGTGTGTGTGTGTCTGTGTGTCTGTGTGTGTGTGTGTCTGTGTGTGTGTGGCTGTGTGTGTATGTGTGTGTCTGTGTGTGTCTGTGTGTGTGTCTGTGTGTGTGTGGCTGTGTGTGTGGCTGTGTGTGTGTCTGTGTGTGTGTGGCTGTGTGTGTGTGTGGCTGTGTGTGTGTGGCTTTGTGTGTGTATGTGTGTGTATGTATGTGTGTGTGTCTGTGTGTGTGTCTGTGTGTGTGTCTGTGTGTGTGTGGCTGTGTGTGTGTGGCTGTGTGTGTGTGGCTGTGTGTGTGTCTGTGTTTATGTGTCTGTGTGTGTGTCTGTGTGTGTGTTTGTGTGTGTGTGCCTGTGTGTGTGTGTGTGTGTCTGTGTGTGTGTGGCTGTGTGTGTGTGTCTGTGTGTGTGGCTGTGTGTGTGTGTCTGTGTGTGTCTCTGTGTGTGTGTCTGTGTGTGTGGCTGTGTGTGTGTCTGTGTGTGTGGCTGTGTGTGTGTGGCTGTGTGTGTGTGTCTGTGTGTGTTGGCTGTGTGTGTGTGGCTGTGTGTGTGTGGCTGTGTGTGTCTGTCTGTGTGTGGCTGTGTGTGTGTGGCTGTGTGTGTGTCTGTGTGTGTGTGGCTGTGTGTGTGTGGCTGTGTGTGTGTGTCTGTGTGTGTGTCTGTGTGTGTCTGTGTGTGTGTGGCTGTGTGTGTGTGTCTGTGTGTGTGTCTGTGTGTGTCTGTGTGTGTGTGGCTGTGTGTGTGTGGCTGTGTGTGTGTGTCTGTGTGTGTTTGTCTGTGTGTGTGTCTGTGTGTGTGTGGCTGTGTGTGTGTGTCTGTGTGTGTGTCTGTGTGTGTGTGGCTGTGTGTGTGTGGCTGTGTGTGTGTTGCTGTGTGTGTGTGGCTGTGTGTGTGTGTTAGCGGTGGTGTAGCAGTTAGCGCGCTGCTGCTATGAACCCGGCGACCCGAGTTCGATTCCCGCTCACGGCCAACACCGGTGACGATTATCTGTATTGGTGCTGGGCCTCTCCTAGGTCGACTCAGCCTCCAATGAGTACCTGGTGCGGTGTGCAAACATCGCCACCCGTGTGCGTGTGTGTGTGTGTGTACGTGCGTGTGTGCGCGTGTGTGTGTGCGTGTGTATGTGTCCGTGTGTGTGTGTGCTTGTTTGTGCGTGTGTGTGTGTGTGTTAGAGTCGTGTGAGCACAGCGTACTGCGTCTCTCCGTGCAACGCAAAGACAAAGGTCCCCCATATAGCCGTGAGCGAACTGTAGGAGCAAGTGCCGTTAGCGAGTAAGCAGCACCTATGAAGGCCGCCACGGCACGCGAGGGGGTGGGTAGCCAGCCTTTGTCTCCCGAGTAGCGATGTTTACTACACACCGCACCAGGTACTCATTCGAGGCTGAGTCCACCTAGGCGCGGCCCATGGAAGGGGAGGGCATTCACTATTCCCGGTCAGATGAATCGTTCGACTTACCACCTGCCAACACGCACCACACACCACCTGGGTTCGATATCAGGCCGTGGAAACTCCGGGAAGGGCTTCAGCACCCCCTCGAGATTGGACAGCGCCACCTTGAGTCGGATCTCTTCTCACTTTTTGGTTCTTTCGGTAAAGTCGCGTATAAAGATAAAATAATAAATTAAATACTAGCATACGACGTTTCGATTGCAACACAAGCAATCGTCATCAGGTACAAATGAATTAGAAACACAAATCTAGTATACTTAGAAATGTAATGTAATACAACAGAGAGTCGGATAACATAACAGTCAACACCCTACCTGGTTGATTACGTTCTTCCTGAGAATGCTAAATTTGAGAGAGAGAGAGATAAAGCACAGAACCAGAGACATATAGACAGACATATAAGTAGAGACAGATATCACAGAGATACATAGAGAGAGACAACACAGAGACACACAGAGACACACACAGAGAGAGACACACAACATAGACACACAGACAGACAGACATATATAAGTACAGACAGATATCACAGAGATACATAGAGAGAGAGAACAAACATAGGCACACACAAATTAAGATCAAATCTCTTCCTCACTCGCTCGCTCGCTCCCTCGTTCCTTCCCTCCGGCTTTCGCTCCACCTTTCATTCCCTCAATCAACTCCTTCCCTCGCGTCTTCCCCTCTCTCTCTCCCCTCCCTCACTGCCTCCACCAACCCCTTGGGGAGCGGAGCGGAGCGGTGGTGCAGCGGTTAGCGCC